AGAGGCGGACATGTTTTGTTGTTTTACTTTTGATGTATTACATGTAACTTCAAGCCAAGGGCTTAATGTGTATCGAGTTAGTACTCTTTGTTGTAACCAAGTGTTAACTTGGAAAGCTGTAAGCCCGTAGGGCATTTTGTTATGATGTTAACATGTAATACTTATGTAATGAGACACTAATGAATAATAGAAGGTGGATTTGTTTATACGTCAACGCATGTCGTATTTGCTGGGTTTAATGTTATTATTTTGAGGGCGTTACACCATTGAAGCCCTCTATATGGTTTGTCGTCAATATGCCCCAACGACAACCACCATCATGGCACAATGTCCAATGACTAGGGTTCATTCGTCTAAACCACCATTCAACATTCTTCTCGAGCTTGTAGATATCGTCCATAATCTTGTTAAACTTCCACACTTGCCGTGCAGAACCAGTTCTCCACACAAGATCCTTCGCCACTGTATTGCCGAATCTTTCATTGAAATTGCTACATACGTGTCGCAAGCAATACCTATGGTACCCTCTTGGTTGAACTGCTGGATTGTCCCAAATTCTTGACACGACACTAAGCAAAGCTGTGTGTCGATCGGATATCAATGTGACCCCCTCTCGGTCACGGCACACATGTCGCCTAAGTAGAGTAATGAACCAACCCCAACTCTCGATCATCTCCTTGTCAACAACGGCAAAGGCAAGAGGTACAATCTTGTCCGCAGCAGTCACTGCAGTGGCCGAAACAATCTTCCCTTCGTATTCCCCGTACAAGTGTGTGCCGTCAATGCATATCACTGGACGACAATACTTGAAGCCTTCTATTGCAGGTTTAAATGCCCAGAACACATAGTTCATGTACATTTCAGTTCCGATTGAGGTACAGTGCAAATTCAGAATCATGTCCCACATGACAACTGTGTCTGGATTGAATGCCTGCAATGCAGCCATATATCTAGGCAACCTTCGGTACGACTCGTCCCAGTCACCAAACACCATTGCAACTGCCTTCGTCCTTGCAAGCCACGCTTTCTTATATGATATAGTGAACTGAAACTTCTTCTTCACGACCTCAATTATGGTAGCAAGAGGCAATTCTAGTGATATCTACAAATATACATTATATTTGAATACATTACAGTCATAATGAAATCCTAAAAACAATAATGTATCTAGCATGGCACTTACCGCAATTTGTGCCTTGATGAAATAAGCAATGACCTCGGACTTGAGGTTGCAATTGTCCCTATTCATTCTAGGGTACACACACTGATGCGGCGCTTCAAACCTTCTAATTTGAAAGAAATCTTTGTCTTTCAACTTTGTTGCCCGAACCCTCCAGTTGCAGCTGTGCTTGCACTCGGCCACCCAACTGTTTCCTTTGGATTCTACGACCTTGCATTCTCGATTGCGCTTCAGGTTATACAACTGAACAGTGTGCACTAGTCTTTTCTTATCAGTAAATAACATTCCTTTCTCCAAATTAGTAGTTTCGAAGTCCCACAATGGCTAACGTTCGACAACATCACGGCTAGTGATGGAACCATTATTGTCGAAATGCAAATTATGGTAGAAAGGGATATGGACATTTGTGTGTACATCCTGCATATCATGATGCCCTCCAACTTCGTCATCACCGGAGTCATTGTCCGCACCTTCCCATGTGCCATCCAAATCTTCCACGGAATCTTTATCACTTACTCCAACCTCGTCAAACAATGGCACTGTATCATCGGAGTATGCATAATTTTGGACAGCCGTCTCCGGTGTACGTTGAACATTACAAACCGGTGGACATTCTTCATTCCAATGGGGATATGGGGTTGTAAGAACCATCAGATTAGACGTTGTCGGAGCACTTGGACCTGCTCCGGCACTGTAATAACCATCTAGGTTCTATGATGCATTTAATTGATTGTAACTCTGAGAATGATTGAATGGAGGGTAATCTTCAGGGAACATGTGTGCAGACTGTATAAGTGTATTGTCAGGGGATTGCGATTGTGTCAACATTTGAGTGAATGTCCCACCCACCGGAATTGGCATCTCTGTGCCACCAAAATTGCTCTCCTTCTCCACATAGATTTCTAAAAAATAATCAGGGCCTAATTTATGTGGGAGCTCTAAGACATTACTTAAGGTCTCATTATCTTTGATTGGCAGCAACCTATACTTCCCCCGACATGGGAGTCTACATTTAAACTCTAATCGCATTATTTCTCCATGCGTACCAACCTTCGGCACCATCATAGCCTCCAACTCGGCCAATGTTATCCCCCTGTGCACATTATACAACCCCTGAGGTTCGATGTCGTACGACACACCTTCATCGCGATTGCGCAAAATCTTTCCACCCCAATAGAACATAATGCTCACAACTTCTATACCTACACTTTGCATTCAAAGTAACTCAATTATTTCTAAATAATAAAGTAAGAGCATTTGAGATCAAACACCACATATATTACATAGGAGTGCCTTTAGGCATGGGTCTTTTGGTATTACAAAATATTTAAGTGGCATATCGACATGAACATGGAAATGAAAGTTATTTGCTCCATATATAATAACATCCTACATGACTTATATTTCTTGTATTATTTAGAAGGATTATCTATTTGTATATTTAAACAAAAAATCATGTGTGGGATCATTTCTCCAATTATCATGAATTAACAATTGAATTCTTTTGTTGTGATTTATCATGATTTCTTCATCCCTTCTTACGAGCTTATGTTTTCCTTTACTCTTTGTTTTATGTTGCTATGGTTTCCCTTTGGTATTATTATTATTTTTTTAAATAATTTTTTCAATTAAAACTCTTTTTTTGGGGCTTTCATGGGTGGGTGTTTTCAAATGCTTTGAAAGAACCTTTTCCATATCTTTAATTGACATTTTGTTCAGGTTTATCAAACCCGTTTTCGTCATGTGTTTCGCGTGTAGTTGCTTTCATATTTTGATTTTTTTAATTTCACATTCTATGAAATAGCATGCACATACTGTAAGAACTCTTCCCACAACCTCACTATGCGCGCCATAATTTCTCATTTCATCTTCATGTATTGAACCATCCATGTAAGACATTATAACCAATAGGCCTTCGATATAGAAAAACTCTACTAAACTAATTCTTCATACTATAAGAACCTAATTTTACAAGCCCTAATTTTTCATACTATAACAACCTAAGAACTTCCAACAGGAAAATCCTAAATTGTTCACAAGTTCAAACTCTAAACTACCATGCCCACAATTGTTCAGTTTGAAACAATAGTATAAAATATTGAAATTCCAACTTTCCATGAAGAATAAAAAGTATCTTGCCTTCTAAAAACATAAACACATTAAGCTTTTGGGTTAATCGCTAATCTAATAGATTCATGTAGCTACAGCTAATCAATTCATGCATGGAGTTACAACACCTCAGTTTAGAAGAAGCTTTGAGGATTGTTGAATAAACATTTGTTTTCTTAACTCCATTTGATTGGGCTAATTACATTGATAAAGAGGTTATCTTTGCAACTTGGTAAAGTAAATGCCAGTCGAACAAATGTCAGATCAAGTGCAAATCAATGACACATAGACCCTTTGAACTTCTTTTGACTAAAAATCACCACAAGAATTAAGACCAACCAAAAAAGATTTTTTGAGACTTTATTGTGATAACAAATTAGCTACCAATTGTGCTCGTAGTCTAGAATCCATTAAGGAGCAATGCACCGATTGTTTATTTTTCCATGCCTACTATTACAAGAATTTCGCAATTTCTTTTAATATATTTTTCTTAAAATGGGAAACCCCTTTATCCAACTAAGCATTCATAACACTCAACATGTTCAAGTAATTAACTATTGAGAATTTATTAGCATCAATAAAAGTTTTTGTTTTTTTTCCTAAATATTTTCAACACTTTCAAATCCTTTTGTTATTTCTCATGTTTTCAAAAAGTTTGAAAAGTTTCCAATTCTATTTTCGTTTCCAACCTAACCGAAAGAACATATGGAAACAAAATTTTGATCCTATTAGAGAAGACGGGAAAATTATCACATTTTAATAACAACATTTGATTTCTTTAACATCAATTTATAACCCAAGTTTGACATCACATATGCACACCCATACAGTACCACCGAACAAAGTACTAGCCAAAATTAATAACAAACAAAGAAAAAAAGAAAAAAAAAAGCTTACTAAAAATAAAAATAAAAAGAAGAAAAAATAAGCACTTTTTCATATTTTTTATTTTTTAGTGAAATTTTTTTCAGACTTGTCATAAATATTAAAATTTTAAGTATATTTATAGTAGGTGCATCAAAATAAATAGATTTTTAATTAAAATCTAAAAAAAATCAAAAATAGATGAAGACAAAAATAAAAGCTCTTTTTTTTTTTTTTTAAAATTTCTAAACTCTATTAGAATGTGTGTATTTCCTAAATTTAAATTTATCACAATAGTACCTGTAACCCCGTGCAAGGCATGGGCATTTTACCCTAGTATCTACATATCTGGCCCGAAAGGGTTGCACTCTATCACAAAAATATGGTTTTACCATAAAATTGTGTAACATCAGTAACAAAATGTATAATCTCGTTACAAATTAGCATAATAAAATGTCCAAAATTTTGTGGTTAATGATGTAAAAGTTTTTGGCTTAGTTACGATATTTTTTATTATGCCAATTTGTAGTTAGGTTACGCATGATGTAAAAGTTTATGGTTTTGTTGCGGCATTTTTTGTTACGTCAACTTGTAATAGGATTACACATTTTTTGGCAGGTGCATATGGTAGTATTTTCCATATATCTAGGCTTGAATAACTCGATTTAGATCTGTTGTTATTGCATACGATGTAATGGGTTGGGCTAGGCTGTGGGCTCATACAAGAAAATTGTGGGCTTATTGTAGGGCTTGGTCCAAACGGGCCAGACTTCTATATCTAGAGGCTCTGAATTATATGATTTTCATTTCTTCAAAAAAGGTTTGATTCCCTTATTAGATGTGGGCTTTTTCTTTTTATATTTGTTTTGAGGATCTTTCTTGCACATATTTATAATTTTCTTTTTATGTACTAAAAAAATGTATTTAAAATACAAGGAAAAATATGTTAAGTTTGTTGTGAAGTTTTCTCAAACCTATTATATTATTATTTGAAGGCATTTGTTATTCTCAAACTTCTAGAATTATGAACTTTTTTATCTTGTTTTTTCTTTTTTTTCTATTGACAAATTTAAAATCCAAATGTAGAAATTAAAATTAAATCTTCTAAAATATGCCCATCCATTCCTCGGTCATTTGGCATATTAATTCCATGTTGATCATTCAAGAGGTAAAGTCTCAAAAAATTATGAAGTCCAAGTGTCCATCAATGGCCGTAGGGGGTTCGAGGACAACAATGTGATGTTCAATCACCAAAAACTCCAAGCAACTCATTGTTGTCCTTTGTTTTTAATCTTTCCTCAACCCACTTACAAAAAAATATATATTTTTTGATTGGTATCCGGCCGTAATGACTGGCTAATATGATCTAAAAAATACATATATATATATATATATTTGGATTGGTATCTGGCCGTATTGACTAACTAATATGAGAGATCAATCCCAACGTAGTGGACAGTGGGACAGTGGGATTAAGGGAAGAAGAAGAAGAAGAAGAAGAAGAAGAAGAAGAAGAAGAAGAAGAAGAAGAAATCATAGAGTCCACTCTTTTGCTTATTTCTCATCTCTTTACTGACTGACTATAAAGCTAGTGTTTATATGGGTCAATCGTAAATAAGATAGTCTCTTGCTTAAAAATGCTATCTGTATAATTTGCATTTATTGAGAGAAAATTATACTACTAATACGTCTTGAATGTGGAGATTTAAAAGGTTGAATTTGGATATTTTAAAGGTTTGGAATCACTAAGAACTCCAATGATGTGTTAAAAATACTAAGTAAAATAGATGCACTACTTGAAATTGACAAGTTGAGAGTTAGCGAGTTAGCAAAACTCTTGCATCAATTCGAAGAGAAGATCGAAAGCTTTCACGAGGAATTTGCGTTAAGGATGTGGTCGTATTAGGCGGGGAATAATGTCATAACTTGGGAATTTTATCAAATATTTGAGTTACGAATTCGATTTTAGATTTATGTAAAATTTTGTAGAAATCCCTATAATTAGGTAGATAATTGTAGAATTTATTCATCATAAGGTGGTGGAAGGATGTAGATAGCTTTCATACTACTAGATCATTGAAATTTATACATATGTTGACTATTAATTAAAATATATAATAGGCAATCATTTGGTTATAAAATGGAAAAATTAGATAGTTTCCACACCATTGGATTGTTGATATTTGTATATATATCTAGACTATTAATTGAAGATTTGAAGGCCAAAGGCATCATTTGACCAAACTAACAAAGCAATAGTAAACTCTCTGTACTTCCAATTCGAACTTTACTTCTTGTGAACTTGCTATTTTCAATTCAAACTCTCTCTATGTAGACACCCCATTTTTGACCGCCCTTAAGACTTGGGCACCACTGATGTTTTGCTTGGCGGAGAAAGGTGTGCAGGGCAAATGCTCATTTTCTTCGGCAAGGAGAGAGGCAAATCCTTCAAAACACTTTTTTTAGGGGTTTGGAGTTGAAGAAGAGAGGAAAGGAGAGGAGAAAACTAGTTTGGGAAAAGTTCGGCATGAATCCGGGTAGAAGCGAGTTGAGCAGCCCTCGCTGAATCGGGCTTATCTATCTGTACACTTGGAGTTTAGCTATGAGGCCACCACCGTCGGAAAGCTTACTTCTGGGGCTTCATTTTGCACTCAAGAATCTCTTAAAGCCAAGTTCGG